GGTTCACTCGGAAACAGGTTTTCCATAGCTTCTGCTGCTTCCTTCTCAACTTGTTCCACTGTCTTCTTTGTATCACTTCCTTCTTTGTGAACCGTCATCTCCACGTCTGCTGCTTCCACTTCTTTTTCTTGTTCCTTCTTTTTCTTCTTCGGGACTGTTCTTTCATACTCACCATACTCTTCAAGTCCTAGAGACTTTCTCTCCAAGATCGTGATGATCACCGAGTTCTCTTCAACTGCATCTATCGCAATCTCTTCTCGGTCTTCCCACTTTTCAGCGCACTCCACAAACTCCAGTTCGCTCCATACGATGTTGTTACCATCGTACCTCGATACCAAAGTAGTTCTGAATTTGAACGCTTTCACGTCATCATTTGTGGGATCATATGTTGTGTACTTGTCATAATCGATCCTTGCTGGCTTCCCATCTGACATGAAAAACCATCCTTCATGATACTTCATCTTCTCGAAATCATCTTCCATCTGCTTGATCAATGTGAGCTTTCTCACTTGTGGTTCATCACTTTCAACCTTCACTAAAGCTCTGTAAATCTTGAGGTCCGTCACTGTTGAGTTTCTTGCAAACCTCACTGGCACTCTTGCTGATCCTTTCTTCAAGTAAGCATTGAACTGGTCTAGAGGATCAAGTCCCCATCCGACTTTCCACAACTTGCCTACTGCAAATAGTGGTTGTGTTACATCTCCGAACACAGCTGAATCTCTCACCTTTATCACTCTTCCATCTGTCCTTTGAAATTCGAATGTGATATTCGCTCTTGTCTCAGTGGTTCTTATCCTGTTGCCTTGGGCATCTTGAATAACCATTCTCAAAGCTGGGAACTCAACTGTTCCTAAGTCTTCACTGTAGTAGCATAGCGGAAGTACATGACAATCCGCTCCACTATCTAGAACGACTTCAACGAGTTCTGAGTAGCTTGAGCTAACGGCTCTTACTCGATGCACTTCTGACTCTTCATCTTGAACACTTCCGAAAAGTCTTTCTCGGTCTCTTGCACTCTTGGCATTCTTCTTGTCCACTTGTAGATCTTCATACCACTTGTGAAGTTCATCTCTTTCATAATCTTCTTCATCACTTTCATCAGCCATGCTTGACCATAGCACAACTGTGTTGACTTTTACTGCTCGTGCAGCATAATCCATCACCATCTCTTCGAACATTCCTACAAGATCAATGTAGTCATCATCTTCTTCGAACACTTCTTCAATCACTGGCATAGGCGTTGTCACCAACCTAAGCACTTGCTCGTTTCCTTTGGCTCCTTGTGGTGGCCTTGCTTGTGCCTGTGTAAAAGAACTTGGTTGCTCTTCATACCATTCTTCCTCTGCACCTGTCTCTTGGATATTCCGAACTTTTCCTTTTCCTCCTTTTCCTTTTCCCTTTGGTGCCGACCAACACTCCGAAGAGTAATGGGTCTTACCACAATTGAAACACACAGGTCCATTCTGTCCACCTTCAGGTCTTCCATGTAACAACATTTTCCTGTAAGAGCTTGTTTCCCGCACTGAGCTCACCACCCGTGTTTGCAGACTGACGGAAGGTCTACGACTGCGAATTCATGCCGGAGTTTTGCAAGGTCGACATCTTGCCAACCCAGCCACCGCTTCACCTTCATTGTAGTTTCAGTTGGTCAGGCATGAACTTTGTTTTGGGACCTTCCAAGACGCACCATAACAAGCTACAGCAGAGTGCTACAGCAGAGTACAAAAAACTTTCAGGGCAGAAATATGATGACAACTTGAAGATTGGTACACTGTTGAAAGGAATACCACAGCACCTTTTTTTTTGGCGAATGGGCCTCGTCGACTACGGCTGTAGCACTCGGTCCCTACAAGCAAACTAACAAACAACTTAGCACAAATCTACAAAACAGTGAGAAAAAAGCGATTTCTGGACCCTCCAGAAAAAAAAAAAAAAGGCAGCCAGCCTGTTGGCACAATAACAAACCTACATTTCTACTGTGGAGGGCCGACCTGGCGAAGCCAGAATTGCTTGTGTTTTGCGGGCCTTAAAATGGGGTCGCCCGACAGCCCATAACTGTGCAGCTTTGAGATCGTACAAAGACAGGGAATTTTTCCAGAGGTGACTCTAGCATCTCTGAACAGAGCAGATCAAGCCATGCCATGCAGAGTTATGGTATCGAGAAGGTCGGCCGGAACAGATCATACAAGAGCGGCGGAATTTTCTGGAAGGCATCTCCACCAGATCTGAACAGGACTTCTTGAGCTGTGTAGAGTTATGGTATCGAGAGGTGCGGCTGACGGTTCGGAATTTGTGCACGGTGCTTAACTCTAAAACCCCTCATGCACGACATGGGCTCACCTGGCTCTTGCCAGATTTTTTTTGCTCTTTTAGCAGACCCATTTGTAACATTCCTTGCCTCTGCCTTGCTTCTGGTTGCATTTGCTGTTGCTGGAACGGCTGTTGCGTCCCCTCAAACAGTCCGAACTGCACTTTTCGCAACCGGAAGTTGCGCCTCTACTTCAATCATCCGCTGTCACAAACCTCGGCCTTCGGAGGTCTTGCGCCTCAGCACGGACGGACAACATCGCAACAGGCGCTCCAAGGGACTTTGTTGCTCAGCAAATTCCACCACATCTCCGCGCAACACAGAGCCGTGCCACCCCCCGCAGCACAGGTCCGTGTATTTTCTGATTTCGGACAGGATTCTGCGCCTGTTGGGAAAAAGTGTCATTTGATCTTTGGTGTTTTTCGGTTTGCCTCAAATGTTAGAAGTGCTTTTTGAATCAGGTTGGTGACCGCACTCGTTTTGTCTCGTTTCGTTTTGCTTTGAATGTTTTCAGCTCAAGTGAAAGATGCACACTCTGTTTTTCTTGGAAGCGGACTTTGGCCTCGCCTGTGCAAGTAGAAGTTAAGAGTTCTTCTGGAAGGCACCTGTGCCAAGAAAGCATCAAAGTTACCTGTTTGGACCAGATCCTATTTGTCCGAAAAGCCCGCCTGCAGCTCAAAGGTGGAAGTGTTCTAGCTGCTGTGTCTGGAACACCTGTTCGGCCACCAGTGCCGCCGATGTCCACTTTGGGTGCGGACCAACTGCAGCACACGCGGCTCCAATTGTGGGGTCGAACAAGCTAAGCAATTTGGCTTCGCTTGAGTGGCCCCCCTCTGTACCCATTGACACACTTACTGACAAAACTGCACACACTATTTTTGGTGACCAGATCTAATTTCCGCGATGGCTTAAACAAAGCCGACTTTTTTTTCGACAGTGGTGAAACAAGTCGTAATTCCAGCATTTCTTACTGCAGGTTGTTTCCTGTCCTAAACTCTTTCTGGGTTTCTTCTGCTTCAAGCGTTTTCCTGCTCCAGACCTTTTCCGTTCCAAGGCCTCCTGTTCATGCCAGACTTTGCCTTCCTTTGTCACTCTCGTAGCCTTTTCCTTCGGCCTTTCTCACCACCTTTTCCTTTTCGTATCCCTATCCTTTGCCCTTTCCTTTGTCTTTTCCGTAAGAGCTTCCTTTTTCTTCTTTGTTTCCTTTTCTTTTTCCATCTCCTTTATCTTTTCTCATGTGCAATCAATCAAGTTCCATTGGAATTGGTCCTTGGTAAGCCTTGAATGTGACGTTAGGTCTGGAACACTTAATGATCCTGAGATGTTTTCAGCTGACCATGTCTAGAAGCCGCTTGCCACGGTGGCGTTGGACTTTGGGATTTTGTTGAAACAAAGCGCAGAGGCTGTCCGTTGTCTGTACACTGACAATTGCAGCAAAAATGGAACTTTCAGAGTTCCAGCAAGCTCTAAACTGGCCCTAAACTCCAAATCAAAAACTCTTTAGCGTTGTAGTGCATGTTTGTCGGTGTATGAAAGCGAGCCGTGTGCAGAAGATTGGTTCTCTTCAAATTTCCAGGGTTGAAAGTGTATCTTTTTCAGTGAAAGCTGCAGAATCAGTTTTGTTCGTTTGTGGTTTTGCTCAGAGATGGAGAGTTAGAGCCTGGAACCTTGGATTTGGAGTCTTAGAGCTTGCGTTTGGAGCCTAGAGTTTAGAGTCTTAGTTTTCGGGCCTGAGGTTTTCTCAAAGCACTGGAAGATTTTCAGTGGGAGCTGCGGTTTTCATGGCATGGAACCTTGGTTTTCAGCTGCGAGAACAGTTTTCGACATGTGGCATAAGTTGCTTGGGCTTTTGAGTGAGATGAGTGAATGCTGTGATCCGTTGGTCCGCATGAGTTCTCGAAGGCTCAAGGTACCTTCTCGAACAGCTGTAGTGCATGCGAGTTTGTTTGCCAAGAAGCTGTGACGGTATGCTTTTGAACCAAGTTTTGTTTTGGCATGTGCTGAAGCACATGTGAATCCGGAGTGCCGCGCTTTATGTGTGGCTCAAGGCTGGAAAGCTTTGAGACTGAAGCTCGTTGAAAGAATGGACCAATGATGAAACATGTTCTGAGGCTCATTAAAGCAAACACTTCGTTTGTTGCGCGAGCAAAAGTCTGTGCAGACCTTGACGGGTTGTTCAGAGTTGAAAGTTTTACATGGTAGCGGAGCACTGTTTGTGCTCCCTTTCCGCCGACCCAAAGAAGGTGTTATGTCTCAAAGGCCTGTAGGTCCAAGTGCTGAGGCGCCAGCTCCGTGTGGTCCAGGTCTTGCTGAGGCTGGAGGGGAGTATGGGTGTGGTACAGCTGGGTGTGGGCAACAGGAAAGGAGGCAAACAGGTGTGGAAGGTGTGAGTGGTGTTGGGTCAAGCGATCCGTGGTTTACAGGTGTTCATAGAGATCCCTGGGCGTTGTACGGAAATCGTATGCGTGCTGGAATGGGACCGATGGAGTCTCATATTAGCATGCCATGTCCACCTTCGAGCGGTACGCCTTCAGTTGCAAGTGCGTGTGCTGGCATTAGGCCAGTGGCGCCAGCTCCAGGTTTGTCAGTGCCTTCAGGTCCTGCGAGGAATCTTTCGACAGTTCCGAATCAAGGATGTTGCAGTCAGGTTTCTGGAGATAATGTGAGTGCAGGGAGACATCTGCTTGATCGCATGAGTTCGCGTGAGTTGCAGTCCTTGTATGCAGATCTTAGCCAAAGACTGAATGTCCCTGTGAGTGGGCAGTTTGTTCCTGAGAGATTGGGGCAGTCGCCACCTGATTTGAATGTGCCAGCTTTCGTGAGACATCAAGGTAACACGTTACCTGGTGTTCCAGCTGAAAATGCGAGGAGCAGTGAAGACAAAGACGTCTTTAGTCGCAGTGAGAAGTGGCTAGGGTCTCCACCTACGCCAAATCATCAGGCGTGGAAAGGGCGTGAATCTGAAGTGCTGGGCATGAATGCCTATATTCACGAGTTGGTTGCATGGGCGAACCAAGCAAGTGTTGAGTTTGGGAAGGAGATCGCTCAGGCCGCGCGATGGCCTACACAGATTGCATGGAACACGTTGTCTAAGAGTCAACAAGCGCGAGGAGTTCGTTTGTTTAGTGTGCTGAAGGCAGCGTTTGCAGATCATGGGCGGATAACTCTTATGATCCAAAGTTTTGGAGAAGGGCTTGACATTGTTGCAGTCGCCATGCAGGGAGATGTTTTTGGAAACTCTCTTTCGTATATGGGAAATGGTTTTGAGTTGCTGAGGCAGCTTGCCAAGGAGTTTTCTCTGAGAAGCCGTGCTGAGGCTATGAGTCTCAGGGCGATGCTGATGGCAAGAACGTTTCGAGCGCAGGACTCGTCAGCTCCAGTTGCTGACACAGTGCGTCAGATTGAGGTGGCAGTGGCAAGGTTTGTGCGTTTACTTTCGACGCTAGATCCTAGAGATGCTGCTGGGTTTCCTTTGACTGACAGTGATCAGCTTACGCTTTTGATGATGTCTTTGCCTGAGAGCGCGAAGGCGTATACGTTACATCATTCGCAAGGTGAGACATATGCCTCATATCGATCTTCAGCTTTGCGATGGGAACATCAGCAGCGTTTGTTTCTTGAGTTGCAAGGGGCCAAAGGTTTGTTTGGCTTGCATGAAACCGAGTTTTCTGAGAGCGCAGGTTCGCCTGAGGCAGGTGAGGGAATGGATGGTCACGTCTTTGGCATGAGTGCTAGGCCTTCTGATGCTGGGAGCGGTGTGAAGTGCAACCGTTGTGGCAAGAAGGGGCATCAAGTGAATCAGTGCACGGCAGACCTTTCCAAGGTTAAGTGCTTCAAGTGCGGAGAGATGGGCCACATATCTTTGAACTGTGCCAAGGGCAAGCAGGGTGATGGTTCTCAGTCGAGTGCGAGGCCTAAGGGTTCTGATGGCAAAGGTGCTGCTGCGGCCAAGGGTCAAGTTGCTTTTTCGCCTAAAGGCAAGAGCAAAGGAAAAGGAGGAAAGAAAGGAAAAATGTTTGCTCTGTTTGATGAGGAAACGGGGGTTTGGTGGTACACAGATGCTGATGAATCTTTTTACACCGAGGAAGGTGATGAGCAAGAAGCACAGCAGGTGGACTCCACTCTTGTGTTATCTTGTGTCATTGAGTTAACTGATGAGCCCAATACGCGTTTTGAAGCTGTCCTTGAAGACAGCGAGTCGGTGTCTGTTGTGCTCCAAGAGCAGTTGTGTCAACCTTTGTTGCAGTCATTGGGTCAATCGCTTGGAACTGAGTTTTGGCTGCTTGACTCAGGTGCATCATGCTGTGTTGTCAATCACGTGACTTTGAAGACGCTTCCGCATGATGAGTTGACTGCATGTGGTTCGACGTTTATGGCTGCGAATGGGACTCCTGTTCCCTTTGATGGTCGTTGCCATGTTGTGCTAAAGGTTCGAACAAAGGATTCAAGTGGAGCTACCAAGAATGGTGTCTGCAAGATTCCTGTGATGGTGGGTGACACTCCTTACAATATCCTGTCAACGCGAACTCTTGGAAGGCATGGCTGGCGTGTTGTCTTGGATGAAGGCGTTTCTGTGTGTCATGTGAAGTCGGGTGTTGATATGATTGATACCTGTATTTGGTGTGACACGCCTTGGATCCGCGTGATTCCTCATTCAGAAGGTGATCTCTTGTTGCCGTCGGGTGACTCAGTTGATCCTGCTCCAATTTCCTCGATTGGACATGTTGCAGTTGTTTCGCAGAAGACCAGGGAAGATCTTGAAATTCACAGAGCAAAGGGCCACATGCCCTTCCATCCCGATTGCGAACATTGTCTGAAGTCCCGAGGTGTTACCCAACACAGGCGAAAGTCTGAGCGTGGAGTTGAAACAGAGATTGTTGCAGATTTTATGTTTCTGGACTCTTCTGGAGAGATGATCAGCGTGGCTGAGCGCCAGACAAGTAGCTCCTTCAAGGTCCTCGTCCTTCGTGAGGCCTTTTCTTCTTCTATTGGGGCTGTGATGATAACTGAGAACATTGCAAACGACAGAGGTCTTCTTTTGAAGTGGCTTGCTGAGTTTGGGTTGTCGTCCTCACAGGCAAGCATTGTGCTTTTGACAGATTCCGAAGAAGCGGTGAAGTCGTTTGTTGCAGGTGCGTCGGATAAGTACATCTTTATGGTGCGCAAGGCTGCGCCGCAGGCTCATGAACAGCTTGGTGGTGCGGAAAGGACAGTCCGGGTCCTTAAAGAAGGGCTAGCTACCTTGCAAAGTGATTTTCAGTCGCTTGGCTGCGTTTTGTCGTTTCGGAGAGACTTGCTGCAGCTTGCACTTTCTTACCTGTGCATGAGTGTGAATGCGAATGGCAAAGCTTTTGGCGGTGAACGCTCTCCAAAGGAGGTTGCAGTTGGTCGAAGGTTGCCAGATACCCCTTTTGCGTTGTTTGGGTCCAAGGTGCTTGCTGAGGTCCCTGAGTCTGTGAAGGCTTTGTGCCCGAATATGTCGCGTTTTGAGGCGGCAGCGTTTCTTCATCCGCAATTTGGGTCGCTTGGGAGCTTGGTGTATGCGCATGTGCGTGTGGGCCAGGTCTTGACGCCAAAGGTGTTTGTTGCCAAGTCGATCAAGCTTGTGTTTCCGATTGAGCTTGTCTTCGAGTCGGGGATGTTTGAAGTTTTGCGTCGTCGTGGTGAGCTTGGGCCTGAGAGGCCAGATCATCCAGTTGCGCCTCGGATTCTTCCGAGTTCCCAGGGTGCCTCTTTGAAGTGTCCTGTTTCCGGTCCGCCAAAGGAGTTTTTTGAGAGATATGGGTTCTCAGGTGATTGCCGAGCGTGTTCCAACATGGCACAATTTGGGTCTAGGAAGGGCTCTTCTCATGGTCGGGCTTGCTGTTTGAGATATGAAGCGTGGTTGCGGTCGCAAGTTGCAACAGATGACAGCATGGACGTTGAAGTGCCTGTGGCTTCGGATGCAGAGGCTATGCGTGAAGCTCTTTCTGAGTTGGCCGAGGATGAGTCGAGGCAAGACCGAGCTGTGGAGGAGGCTCAGGGTTCTCCTGTGTCTCCCCCGGCCAGTGGGGACGCTGCTTCGTCTGAGGCTCCAGCGAGGATTGTGAGCGAGGCGGCCCCCAGTGGTCGTGTTTTCACGCGTGGTTGTCCTGCGTGCGAGTCTGGCATGAATGCTCCTGGCATTCGTCACAATGCTGATTGCAAGCGAAGAAACCAACATCTCAGTGTTAGATTTTCTGTTTCTGGGGAGCCCGATGATGACGAAGCTTCATCCAGGCGTCTGCCTGAAAATCTTGAAGGAGCTGCTGCTCCTGAGTCTGAGGGCATTGGGGCTCTTGATGAGGACACTGAGATGCCGTTTGCCGATCCAGTGTTGACTGGAAGTGAAGGCGGAGGCAGCCTAGAGGCTGAAGAAGTGCTTCGTGGAAGCAGTGCTGTGAAACGCTCCTCTGAAGTCCCGTTGGAAGATCTGGAGCGTGAGATCAGGCAGGACCAAGAAAGGGTTGCTTCAGTTATGGTTACCTTCCATAATTGCGAAACAGGGAATGATGTTCACATGCCTCTTGCGAGTTTTGTTGAGCAAGCGTTCCAGGTTTCTAACTATGTCCCTTTGCTTTCAGGGCTTGTGGATTCGGTTCAGTTCGCCCCGAACTCTACGAGTGTTGTTTTGCCGTTTGGGAAAAGGTCGCATTTGAGACTTTGGAAGCCTAGTTCCGCTGTTGATGACTCTACCTTGGGTGAGCTTTCAGGAGATCAGGTCATGGAGGGCATGGTCAAAGAAGTCAGCAATTTGAGTCACATGGAAACTGGGGATCTGTTGACTGCTTCAGAACTTCAGAGTCTTGAGAAGAGGTTCCCAGGTACCTTGAAGGTCATCCCTAGTCGTTGGGTCACGACGCAGAAAACACCAACTACTGTGCGAGCTAGGATTGTCATCAAGGATATTGCTGGCAAGAACTCAGAGTCTGCAAGGGCTTTGGGCATTTCAAGTCCTACTCCTAGTGCCGATGCTTTGTTCACGGTTCTTGGGGTTGCAGGTTGCAGAGATTGCTTGATTGCGAGCGCTGATGTATCTCACGCTTTCATGGCTACGCCTTTGAGGGAAAGGGATGTGGTTATGAGGTTTCCTCTGTCAGTGTCTTCGGTTTCGGGGGATCCTTTGTATCTTCACCTCAACAAAGCCCTCAATGGGCTACACAAGGCTTCGCAAGAATGGATTTACTTCGTAGGGGAGACTGTGAAGGTTTTGGGGCTTCAAAGTTGCAGCTTAGAGCCGTGTCTGTTTTCAGGCATGCTTGAGTCAGGTCCCTGTTTGCTGTTGGTCTATGTGGATGATTTTCTGTGCATTGCGCCAACAAAGGAGGATGTAGATCACATCTTTGGAGTGATTGAGGAGAAAGTTGAACTCAAGAGAACTGGGTTGATCAATTCTTCCAAGGGTGGCGGTGGCACTTTGCGGTTCATTGGTAGGGTTATCTCCAGGAGAAAGGGGGAGTCCTCTATCACAGTGTCTTTGCCAGAAGATTATTTGGATGAGACCTTCAAGGCTTATGGTCTTTCGGGAAAAGGTTCCTCAAGTCCCCCAGATGTAGCGGTTCATGTTGAGAAGCTAGATGGAGTTCCATTGTCTCCTGAGGCATATGCCAGGTTCAGGTCTGCGTTGGGGAAAGTAGCGTGGATGACGCAGACTCGCCAGGACTTGCGTGCTTATGTGTCAATCTTGGCAACACAGCAAGCTACACCCACAAATCATACTGAGCATGGTCTCCGAGCCTTGCTTCGATTTCTGAAGAACGACATGTGCGTGGTTGTGCGGTTGCCTGCTGCGAGTGATGTGTTGGCTCCCTCGCAACACTACCAAGGAAAGAGGCACCTTGTGTGTTTCTCTGACGCGTCGCATGCGCCTCTGAGGTGCACGAAGCGCCGTGGAATCAGTGGAGGAGTGTTGACACTTGATGGCTGCGTGATAAAGACTTTATGTCGCCACCAACAGCTTGTGTCGCTGTCGTCTATGGAGTCAGAGCTGTTTGCGTTGCAGTCGGTTGCTCAAGAAATGTCGAGTCTTGGAAAGTTCATGGCAAGGGTTTTCATGTCGTTTCGAGAAAGCGAGGAAGTTGAATTGCCTGGGGTACTTTACAGTGACTCAGAAAGCGCTTTGAAGCTTCTTCGCAATTTGGACACACCCAGGCAAAGCAGACATCTTGAGATCGAGTGGCTTAAAGCTCGTGTCGCGGCGGGTTCTTTGGTCCTTGCTTTTAAGAAGGGAATCGAAAACCCGTCAGACCTCTTGACTAAGTGTTTTGGGTCCTCGGTTTTCGGGATACATCGTGAAGCGTTGGGCTTTGAGTCGCTGTCGGGACCACTTGCGTCTTTATGCAATCATGAGAAGAGATTGGTGATGGTTGAAGTGTGCTGTCGACCGCAGTCGAGTGTTCAAGATGCATGTCGCAGAGTCGGGATGAGTTATGTTGGCGTGACTGAGAACATGCAGAGTGACAGCGTGTTCAAAGAGGTGCGTCGATATCTTCTGAACTTTGCGTGTGACTGCGTGTTTGTGCATGTGTCCACGCCTTGCTCTTCTGGATCTTACTTGCGTCGGTTCTCTGGCGGGAGCTCGTCGAAGTCGGATTGGGAATGGTTTGAGGTGTTTCCTTGTGTGTTGAAGTACTTGAAGCTTGGGAAGCACTCGAGCTTTGAGCTGCCATGGAACAATGAGATTTGGCAACATGACTTGTGCCAGAAGGTGCTGAAGAAGGCAGGCCACACGTTCGATGTGCCGGTGAGGTTGTGCATGACTGGTCTTTGTTCGAAAGGGGGTGAGCCTATAGGCAAAGTCTTGGGTTTTACTTCGACTTCTGAAAAGTTTGTGTCTGCCCTGAAGTGTTTTTCCAGCTGCAGGTGTGCTAAGCATGCAAATCTGTGGCAGGTTGGATGGACCGAAACAGGTTTTTACACTCCGAAACTCGCTGATGCGATTGTTCGAGGTGCGATCAAAACGTTGCAGTGATGCTTTTTGGGGGGTTTGGGCCGGGCTGTTGGCTGGGTTCGGATTCTCCTCTTGACGCCGGTTTCTTTGCGGACGTTGAGGTCTGCAGACAAAGCTCCGTACTGGTGCTAGTTGTTTTTGCGTGTGAAACCTAGGTGCGAACTCGTGCTGCCATGGTTCTCACGACCGATGAGCGCAGGGAGCTGCGCCGTTTGCTGGATAAGATGGATTCTGCAGATGGCTTGGCTTCGACTGCCAATACTTCTATGACCGATGGGACCAAGCGTCTCAGAGATGTGGGTGGATATCCAGAGGATGGGTCTACTGCATCAGGTTCTGCTTGCGGTGCCCAGCTGCCGATTTCAAAGGGAAGCGCAAAGGGTGTCGTGAGCACGCCCAAGTGTTATGAAGACCTCGTCGATGCCTTCGAGGGGGAAGAGTTTGGGGAGAGTGACAATGTGATTGTCGTGAGCTATACGGGTACTGAGGTCACCTCGGTGCCACTTCCAAGTGATCTCTCCGTGGAGGATTGGGGTCGAACAATCTGCGATCTGCCAAAGGTCCAGAAGAATAAGACTTGGTTTAAGAAGTCCTATGCGGCCTTGGTCAAGCTGTCCAAGGAGGATAGCGACCTTGCAAGCTATCTCAATTGGGTCAAGGAGAAATTTGGTCGCAGTTACGATCCGACGACCCCAGCCAGTCAAGCCTCGGACCTTGCGGGGTATTTGATGAGGATTGGTTTTTCAAAGCAGAAGGGATTCCAGCGCAAACTGGCGGAGGAGTGAAATCCTTGCTGGATTGCGGAAGAGTTCTTTATCAATTTGGGAGCATGGGTACATGTATGAGCGGTGAGAGCTGGTATTCTCAAGGATGCCTATGTGTATATTCACTGTTAGAAGTCCGTTGGGCTTCGCTTTGGGTGATATCCTTTCTGGCATGAGAGAAGAGCTGGCTATCTGGCGCGAGATTTTCCAATACCTATGTCTTCGTCGCTTCGCATGGGTTGCAGCGTGGCTACATGGTTGGCAATGTTTCAATGTGTGCTTGGTGTCGAGAAGTGCTTGTTTTGGACAGCAGCAAGGATGAGAGATGATACACACATCGAAAGGGGGTGTGAAAAGTTGTACCTTGGCTCAAGCTCAAGTTTTCGGCTCAGACGTTGCAGTGCCGTCGTGGCCTTTTAGCCTTGGGGCCTACTTTTCTAGAGGTTCCAAAGAGGTCCCAAACCCAACCACTACAGGTCGTAGGCCAGAAAGCTGGCAAGGGTCGGTGGGCGGCCCGGTAGGCTGTACTGCACGTGCTGTGCCAGGCGCTCCGCCTGAGCCCGGCAGACCTTTCCCTCGCTGCGCGCACTCCCTCGCCGTCTGGAGCTTGCACAGTTGCTTCCAGACTGGCTAGAGGCTTGTGCTTTTCGTGCAGCTGAAGGTTGCCTGGCTCCTCGCCCGAGGCTGAGGTTCCCTCACCTATGGGTCGAGGTATGTCGCAACGCGCCTACCATGTTTGCAAACGCTGTCAGAAGGCGTGGACGAGCTGTGGAAGCACCCCACCTGCCCGGCCTGCCAGGCTCGGTTCCCCAAGGCTCCCAAGCCTGGTAGTGGTTCTTCCACACCGACCCAGTCCCCTACAAGGACCCCACGCAGGCGCCCTTCCCGACCCCGCAGACAGGTCACCTTTGACGATGCGGCTGAGGTTGGTGACTTCCTCTCTGACGACACGCCCACTCCTCGCCCAACGAAGGCCCAGGATGACCGCTCCAAGCGCAACACCCGCATCCTCAAGTCCCTTCGGAAGGTGTGGGCCGATCTCCCGGATGAAGCCAGGACCCAGCTCAGCGATGCCGGGTTTGAGGCCCCTCAGACCTCTGATGCTGATATGGAGCCCGACCTCCTGGCCTTACTCCAGGACAACGTGGAGCGGCTCCCGGAGTGCATCCGTCAGGCTTTGCCTCCACCTCCTCCTGAGCCAACCCCCGACCCTCTTAAGGCAGGTCGTGAGTCGGGTAATGCTCTCCGTCGTTCCATCTTGAAGCTCAAGCAGTTGGGACAGGAGAAGCTCAGGCTCCAGGAGGAGATCAACAAGACCAAGACCAAGCTCCACGACCTTCTCCGCGGCATGCAGGAGCTCCAGGAGGCTATCTCTGAGGCAACCGATGTGGCCAGGAAGTGCTCTGACACTTATGAGCGCGGAGTCCTACTGCACGTCCCTAAGACTGAGGTCGACTTAGTGCTCGAAGCCTTGGGGCTCTCTCCAGAGGCCCTCACGGACTTCGAGCCTCGATCAAGCCACCTCCGGACATGCAAGCTCCCCCTGGCCTCGGTCCTACGCCCTTTAAGTTCGGCTCCCCTCCTCCTCCGGCAGGTGACGGGCAGGCCAACGGTGATCTTACCGATGAGGTCCAGGACGGCTCTACCGAGAACCCTGGGGCTCGCCAGGTCGGCCTCACCACCCCGACGAAGACCCCGACCGCTCTCCTTCCCGAGTGCCCTCGGCCTCTGACGCTGCCAAGGCGACTGGTTCGTAGGAGGATGGTAGGGGTTCGGGGGCGGATTTTTGGGGGTCTTCTGGTCCAGTCTCGTTTCCCTTTGGCCCCAGCTTTCCCGCCTCTGACCCCGCACCTTCCCTCCTTCGGGTTCCCTCCCGCATACCTCCTCCCCTCGGCTTAGCTGTTTTGGAGCCTGAGGTTTCGGCCCGGGCCTTTTTCACTCCGCCGTCGGGCCAACTGCCCGTGGCCCAACTCCTTCCGAGCGAGGGGTACTGGCCCACCTCTTTCTTTGAGGAGCCATCGGCCTCCTCCTCGGTTTTTAACTTCAATCTCGACGGCCAAGGTTCGGGAGTTTTCCTTCACCCTCAGGTGTTCGTTCCCCCCTCGGCCAGCCCTACCCCCTCCTCCCCTGAGTGGGTAGAGGTTCCACGCTCTTCTCGACGGCAGCCCCGGATTCTGTCTCTTGAGTCCTTGGTGGCGCCTCCCTCTCCTCTGACAGGGCCGGTTTACTTCCCACAGGCTTTCGCCTCGGACCCCAGCCCTGCCTCGACCTGGAACCCTAAATTGGTCCAGCCCTCCGGCCCATCGAGCCGTCGAGGTGCCAGGCGTGACAGTCGGTCCAAGCACCGCCGCCACCGGCTCCACATGCCGGGCCTTTTCACCCAGCTCCAGGTCGAGATGTGCGACCAGGCCCTGAATCCTGCCTCCTCGGTTGAGCGCGACCTTGTTGAGTTCGCTTCTAAGGTCGAGGATGCTATTTCGCCGGGTTCTTCCGAGGAGTGGTTTTTGGAACATGCCCTTGATGCCATCCATGATGACTCACCCTCCCCCGCAAAGTGGCACCTCCTCAAGCAAATGGCTCTGGTTCTCTCGCTGCAACATAATATACTCCCCACAGCCCCGCTTCCTTCAGGCTCCTGTCTGCCAATGTTACTCACTGGAGGCCAGAGGTTCGGGATTGGGCCTTCTCTCTTGAAGGCCATGGGGTTCTGCTCCAGGAGCTTCACCTCACCTCTGAGGCTGCTCATGAGGCTGCGATTGCCGCCTCTAAAAGAGGGTTTCGCCTCTTTACCTCGCCTCCCTTCCTGAGTGATAAGAGGCGCCCCTTGGGAGGTTTCGGTGTCCTTATCCGCTCCTTCCTTAATCCTCGTCATGTCCTTACCCACACCGTGGAGGGTTGTGGTTTCCTGGCGGTTTCGCTTCGGTGTTCCGGTTTCGAACTGACCCTGGTTTCCATTTACCTCCAGTCCGGTACTGGCTTTAACTCTCCGGTCAACGCCGATGTCCTTGCTCGCCTCTTAGCCTTTCTTCCTTCCCTCCGGGGTGTGTGGATCGTTGCTGGTGACTGGAACAACCCCATACAAGATCTCCTCGCCACTCGGCTTGAGGAAGTTTCCCATGGGCGTTTCCTGGGTTCCGGTTCACCCGCCGCAGCAACCGACCGGGAACTTGACTACTTTCTGGTCTCGTCTCCGGCTGTTGCTTCCCTGCAAGTCGTTCAGGACTGGGTCGTCCCCTTCAAGCCTCACTGCGCTCTGCGGGCCACTCTTCAGCTCAGCTCTCTGCAGCTTCCCTACCCGCAACTCGCTACCTTTTGTGAGGTCTTTCCTGACCCCTTGCCTTTTCAACCCTCGGTCCCGAGCCCCTCGCCTATCGCTGAGGTTAATCTTCTTGGCCTCACTTCCACCGACAAGCTCACTCTCGACTTCGCCGAGTTGAGCTCTTTCCTCGAGGTCTCTCACGGGTTCCCCGACCGAGGGCGTGGGGCTTTCGTCCCCTTTCTTCACAAGCCCCTTGTCCAGGGCCACTCTGTTACCTTTGCCTGGAAAGGCCAGCTCCCCTCCTTGGTGTCAGCCGTGCTTCACCTGCTCGACCGGCCCGAAGCTGTGCAGTCCTTCTTGTGGTCCTCTTCGGACACTTCCCTCCCCTCGGAGGTCCGCGCCTTTTGTGACCGGGTGCGCGACGGCTCCGCTTCTTCCGCCACCCTCCGCGCCGAAGGCACTGCCCTCCTTGGCCAACTCCGGCGCGAGCAAACTGCCCAGCAAGCTGACCAGTACGGTGAATGGCTGGAGGAAGCTTCGGGTTCACACCTGGGGCCGCTCTTTCGGGCCATCAAGTCCCATGAGCAGGTGCTTGATCGGCCCTTTCAAGATTGCGATGGACTCCGCCGTGTCTTTGAAAGGCATGAGCATTGGGCCCGCGTTTGGCATGCCTCGGTTTTCCCCCAGCACTTTGCTCACCCTCTCCTCGCGGAGCTCCGCTCGAGGGCCGTCTCCCATTCTGGCACCCTGGCTCCCTTGACTGTTCCCCACCTTCAGAAACTTCTCAAGAAAGCCGGGAAAAAGAAAGGGGGCCCAGACGGCTGGAGCTACCCAGCCCTTCGTGCACTGGACCCGGCGGCTCTCCAGCTCGTTGCCGACTTCCTCGCCCGTGCTGAGGCTGAGGTGCTTCTGCCTTTCCAGCTCACCTGCGTTCAGGTCGCTCTTCTCCCGAAGTCGGCCGACAAGGAGCGCCCCATAAGTCTCCTACCGTGTCTGTGGAGATTGTGGGCACGAGCTAGGTGGCAGGACATCTCGGCTTGGACATCGGCTTACGCCCCCGCCCACCCGTGGGACCGGGCGGTTCCAGGCCAGGCAAGCCTGGACACGGCACTGGCCCGCCTCGTCAGATCAGAGCATTCAAAGCTCGAGAAGACTCACATAGTGTCGCTCTTCCTCGACTTGCGAGGCTTCTTCGACTCTGTGAGCTATGAGCGCCTTCTCCTCCAAGGGCTCGCTCACAGTTTCCCTCCTCTTCACCTCTGGTTCGCCCTCCAGGTCTACCAGGGTCCTCGCTGTCTCGTGGCCGACTCGATCGCTGCCACGCCGCTCTTTCCTGGCCGGGGCGTACCCCAGGGCTGCCCTCTCGCACCCTCGCTTTCCAAACTCACCATGTCCGAGCCACTCCAGAAGGTTTCTTCCCTTCCCTTCGTCACCAACACAGACTTATGGTTGGACGACGTGAGTTTAGACGTGGTGGGTTCCGACCCTGTCGAGGTCGCTTCCTCTGCGCTTCAGGCCTACCGGGTTCTTCATACCTCCCTCGGCCTTGAGGGCCTAGAGGTTGAGACCACCAAGACCAAGTTCGTCGCCGGTACGGCCCGCGCTCGCGCCGCGCTTCAGCAGCTGCGGCGCCCGGGCGACCCCGACACCGCTGACCTTGTTAAGGACCTAGGTCTTGACTGCGCTGCTGGCCGACGGCGGCGCATCACCACCGCTCAAAAGCGCTTTCGCACCGGCATCGGCCGTATCCGCCACATGCGCCGCCTCCGCATTCGCCGCAGGTGGGTGCGTGGCCGGCTGCTCCAAGCCTCCGCCCTTAAGGCTGGTCTTTATGGCCATCAGGCCGTAGGGGTTGCCCCTAAGCGCCTTAAGGTCTTACGCTCGGCGGTTGCGCGCGAGGCTGGTCGTTTTGAGCACGGCTCCGCCGACGTTATTCTCGACCTCATGTCCCACAAGGCCGTTGACCCACACCAGCTTGTGGTAGTGGAACAGCTCCAGGCCCTTGGGCGTCTTGCCTCCAGCGCCTCACCCGAAGGCGTGCGGTTACTCACCCGCACTTGGGCCTCCTCCTGGTCCAGACAGGCCTCTGCCACCCATGGGTGGAAAATCGTGAACGGTCCCGTTTCCGCGCTCATCCAGTACTTACTGGACTTGCGGGTGTCTGCCCCTACCCCTGAGGTCTGGACACACCGCGAGGCTACCTTTCACTTCCGCTTCCGCGATCCGGGAGCGGTTTTTGAGGCCTCTGCTTTCCTCCGCCAGGTCATTCAGCTCGAGCGCTGGTCCCGTATCGGCGCCGTCTCCACTGCCGCTGGTGCCGCCCCTGGCATCGTTTGGACCGTGCCTCGCCGCCTCTTAGCCAGTCCTCGGACGAAGCCCTGGCGGCATGGCCTTAGGGCCGTCTTTCAAGGCGCCCTCTTCCATTCGGGCAACGGAGGGAAGGAACGGTGCAAGTTCTGTGGCGGCCCCAACACGCTGCACCACCTCCTTTACGAGTGCGAAAAAATCCCCGGCGCCCTCATGCCCGCGGGGTGGCTGCTGTCCTACAAGCGGCGACATCCTGCCGACTGCCTTTGGTTGCGCGGTATGCGCCCCCTTACCTCCCGCGAGCCCCTCGCCCGCGAGGCTGAGGTACGCCGTACAGGTCTCTTCCTTGAAGGCACCCCTGACCTAACCGGGCTCTACGTTGCCACCGACGCTTCCGGAGGCCCTGCCTCCAAGGATAGCCGCCTCCGCTCGGTTGGCTGGGCTGCGCTTGTTGCCAGCAGGAACGATGGCGACCTTGTCGTGCTGGGCACCCTGTCCGGGCTCTTGCCTGCCCCTGCTTCTGTGCCGGAGGGCGAGAGCGAGGCCATTGCTCAGGTCCTCCTCTCTTCCCGTGGCACTTTTGACCTCACTTGCGACTGCCAGCCCGCCCTGCGCAGCCTGCAGGGGCCCTTCACGAAGCGCACTTCGCTTGTGTGGGCCAAGGCGTGGGATCACAGGCACCGAGCCGACCCCCACTGGGTTCGCTCTCACCTTAGTCCTTCGGACTTTTGTTTTGAGTTTGGCGCTGACGCCCTGTGGCGCCATGAGCTCAACTCTCTTGCGGACAAGCTCGCCAGGGACCGCGCGGAGGAGGTTCAGACCCCACACCGTCTTGCCGCCCAGAAGGAGGTCGACCGTGTCACCTCCCTCGTTTGCGAGTATCTCGGTCACCGCGCGGTCGCAATTTTGGCCAAGGCCGAAAAGGAGGATTTCGTGCCGCGGAAGAACCGCCTCCTCTCCGCTCTTGAGTCTTCCTCTTCCCCCTCGCCCAACAAGAGGCAGAGGTTGCAAGCCCTCCTTGACGAACCCCCCCTTCCGGGCGGGCACGTTTGGGCTCGCACCTCTAAGGAGAAGAGTTTCAACATGTGTGTTAAATGCTCCGAGTGCTCTCTTTGCATCTACCAGGTTGACACGCCGGAAACCTTCGAGCGTCTCATTTCATTCCCGTGCCGAACGGCTGCGGTTTCGTGCCCCTTTGCGGTCCACTCCTCGCACAGCCTTGTGCGCCAGGGGCCGTCCTGGAAGTGTGGCCAGTGTCATGGCCAAGTGACTCTTCGCATGGGCGTCGCGCCAAAAAAGCTCGTAGCGCCTTGTGCGCTTCCTTCGGTGCGGGGGTTTTTCTCTAAGGGTTCCCCCTCCCCTGGGCTCCAGGCTTCTCCTTCTGCCTCTGCCGCTGCCCCTGAGGTCCCTCCCGTGCTTTGTTCCTGGGGTTCGCTCCAGGGTTCTGCGTCTGCTTCTGCCCTCACTTCGGTTGAGGTTTCAGACCCCAAAGCCACTTCCCCTCTCGAAGGCCCCAGGTCTCCTTCGGAGGTTCCCCGGGCCCAGGCTCTTGCTAGCCCTGGTTTGGCACTTGAGGCCCCAGCTCTAAAGGCTCCAGGCTTCGCTCTCCCTAGCGCCCCTGCCTCCAAGCCCAAAGCTAAGCCTCGTCCCAAGCCCAAGCCCAAGCCTTCCGCCCCGTGCCCTCCGATCACTCAGTTCTTCCGCTAGCTTCGGCTCAAGGAGGGCGACCATGGCGCCCAAGGGAAAGGGTCGCCACGCCCGCGAACAGCAGGAGCGTTTTGACCAAACGGGTATATGGCACAGCACGAGCTCCCTGTCAAGACGCAAGCTGCGTCCCGATAAGGCCGCTCGCGCTAAAGCCAAAGCGCGCCAGGAGCAGGACCGCGAGCGGGTGCAGGCGAATCCGCCTCCCGCACCACCACCTGCTCCTCGCCGAAGGGCTGAGGTCGACGACGACGAGGACCAGCCCTTTCCCTGGTCACGTCGCGTGACGAACCGCACGACGGCCAGTAAGTCGGCCCCTCGCCCCCAGTGGCTGAGGTTGCAATGGAGGTCGTCCTCCTCCCCGCAACCTGCCCCAGTGGCAGTGGCGACCAGGCCGGCAGACAACCCCCCCCTCCCACCCCCCGTCGCCAAGCCCAACCCCCCCCGCCCCCCCCCGCCGAAACGCAAAGATCCGGATGTGCTCTATCTCGAGATCGAAACAAGGCGGGGGGGGCAGGGCGATTACCTGCCGCAGCGCGAGAATATGGCCGGACGGTGGGTTCCTCGGAACCCACCGGGCCGTAGGATCGCAACTCCAGCCAGGAGTTCGCTGGTTGCTCGTGGACGAGCACGAGATCGCGGCTCATGACAGCCCGCATCTCGCGGTGCCCCAACGAGTGGTGGCACCTGAGCTCCCCCCAGCAACCTCCTCGCCTCCGGCTGAGGTTTCCCTCCCCTGTCCTGCTTCCCTGGCCACACGTGGGTCTTCCCCGCTCCCGGAACCAACTGGTCCTCCGATGAGCTTTCACCCCCGTAACCGTGGGCCTCCCGCACCGGTGGAGCACTCAGTCACTGCAGGAGTTGCCTCCTCAGCCCCGGCCGGCTCCCGGCCTGCTCCGGCGGCTGAGGCCTGTCCCCCCAACAGGTCCTAAGAGCCTTTCCTCGCCTTCGGCTGAGGTCGCTTCCCCTTCCCCGGCCCCTCCTCGGCAGCCGGACGTGGGTTCCGCCTCCTCGGCCCTTGCTAAGGCTCCGCGCCCAGGCCTCCCTCAACAGGGCACCCCTGCCCCCCTCTGGGGTCTCGGGCGACGAAGCTACGGACTCTCCAAGCTCGTCGGCTAGAGGTCCGGCTCCAGCTGAGGCACGTCAAGAGCCGGCTCACGTGCAGGTCTTCAGCGAGAACTTCCTCCGCTGTTTTGCATGCGGCGTCACTACTTCCAATCAACAACTGATGGAAGCCCATGCAATGACCTCCAGGCACGTCCGCCTTACCACGGCCTATGTGGCCAAGCGAAGGCGAGAGCTGGCAGCGGCCCAGGCTGCCCAGCCTCCTGTGCCGTAGGCCCCGAGCCTTGGCACTCGTCTCCTCAGGCACACCTCAGGCTCCTTCCTCGCCTTTTGGCTGAGGTTCAGCGGTGCTTGGGAGTGCCCCGGGCATCCCTTGGTCCTTTCCTCGCCTGTTCGGCTGAGGTCTGCTTCTGAGGCAGCTTGCCCGGGCTCCGGTAGAACCCCGCCTGTACAGACTTTGGTAGGGCCTACCCCTCGTCTGAAAACGACTGAGGTTGGCGGGTGTAACTAGCCACCTGTAGTCCAGGACGTAGGGCCGCCCTTGCCCAAAGTGGCTGAGGTTCTTCTCACTTGCATGTGAATTCATCCTTCGAAGACTCGTCTACGACGGCTTGCAGCTCGGCGCCGAAAAGTTGTACCTCAGCCGGACGTGGGTCCAGCCTCCACGGCCCTAGCAAAGGCTCCACTCCCGGGCCCCCCTGAACAGGGCACCCCTGCCTCCAAAGCCATCGGCTCTTCGGAGACCTCTGGGGTCAAGCCCTCGCCTTTGGCTGAGGCTGCAGCCTCTGCTTCAGTGGCCCTCTCAGGCCTCCCTGGCACTTCGTCAAGGACGAGTGAGCCTTCCCTTTCCACACCCCGTGGCCCGGGTAAAGGGGCCACAATCGCCACCGCTGCTTCGGCAGCTGCAACTCCTAGCGCCTCGACAGCTGGAAGTGGTCCCCTTCAGGTCTCTCCACGGCCCCGCCGGACCCTGCAGAGCCAGGTCTCGAAGGCCTGGCATCTGTTGCCGAGCAGAGGGGGGCCAGCCCTAGCTTCCCGAACCCCTCAGGATTCTCGGGCGACGAAGCTACGGACTCTCCAAGCCCTTCTCCTCGCCGGCCGGCTAGAGGTCCGGCTCCAGCTGAGGCACGTGAGGAGCCGGCCCACGTGCAGGTCTTCAGCGAGAACTTCCTCCGCTGTTTTGCATGCGGCGTCACAACTTCCAATCAACAACTGATGGAAGCCCATGCAATGACCTCCAGGCACGTCCGCCTCACTACGGCCTATGTGGCCAAACGAAGGCGTGAGCTGGCAGCGGCCAAGGTTGCCCAGCCTACTGTGCCGTAGGCTCCGTGCTTCGGCACTCGTCTCCTCAGGCACACCTCTGGCTCCTTCCTCGCCTTTTGGCTGAGGTTCGACCCTCAGCGGTGCTTGGGATTGCCCTGGGCATCCCTCAGTTCTTCCTCGCCTGTTCGGCTGAGGTTGCTCCTGAGGCAGCTGCCCGGGCCCCGGTAGAACCCCGCCTGTACAGTCTTTGGTAGGGCCTACCCCTCGTCTGAAAACGACTGAGGTTGGCGGGTGTAACTAGCCACCTGTAGTCCAGGACGTAGGGCCGCCCTTGCCCAAAGTGGCTGAGGTTCTCCTCACTTGCATGTGAATTCATCTTTCGGACTCGTCTACGACGGCTTGCAGCCCGGCGCAGAAAAGTTGTACCTCTGAGCTGCCTGTTGAGTGGTGGAGCCGCTCAGTGTGCTGGGCTGCGATATGTATACCATCAGGTTGCTGACTGCAGTTTGGAGTGCAAGCCAATTTTCCTGCGATTCCTGGAATTTTCTGAGGTGCAATGGTTATCTGGATATATTCTGCATGGTTTTGGTTTTGCAGAGGTTTTCTCAAAGCACTGGAAGATTTTCACTGGGAGCTGCGGTTTTCATGGCATGGAACCTTGGTTTTCAGCTGCGAGAACAGTTTTCGACATGTGGCATGAGTTGCTTGAGCTTTTGAGTGAGATGAGTGAATGCTGTGAGCCGTTAGTCCGCATGAGTTCTCGAAGGCCTCAAGGTACCTTCTCGAACAGCTGTAGTGTATGCGAGTTTGTTTGCCAGCGTGGAGCTTGTAGAGAAGCTGCGACGGTATGCTTTTGAAGCGAAGTTTTGTTTTGGCATGTGCTGAAGCACATGTGAATCCGGAGTGCCGCGCTTTATGTGTGGCTCAAGGCTGGAAAGCTTTGAGACTGAAGCTCGTTGAAAGAATGGGCCAATGATGAAACATGTTCTGAGGCTCATTAAAGCAAAGCTTTAGTTGACAGCAGTGCAGTGCAAGAACAGCTGAACACTTCGTTTGTTGCGCGAGCAAAAGTCTGTGCAGACCTTGACGGGTTGTTCAGGGTTTGAAAGTTTTACAGTTTTGGAAGTGTGGGAGGTTCTAGAAGAGTTACCGCGGGTTTGGGTTGCTGGAAACACCTGGGCCCGGAGCGGAGCTGAGGCAGCTGGGCAACGGCCGCAGCCAGGGCCGGGCCCCATGATTTTTGGCGTGCGGGCCTCGTTGACGAGGGCTGGCAGCACTCGGTCCCTCCAAACGTACCAAACCAAGAAAGAAGAACCAAAAGCAGCGGTGAAACAGTGAAGGGCAAAAAAAGCTGGCTACGGCGCACGGACTTTGCGGTTGTTTCAGTTACGGAGCCTCAGTGACCGATCCATCAGAAAGACTCACAAAATTCTGGCTACGGGTTGGAAGATGGACTACCGAACCCATTTTGTAGTTTTTCGCTGTGTTAGCTTTGAGACGTTGGAAAAATAAGCATTATTGGGCACCTGCAAACAGAATTACTTTGGCACGCAGGTGGATAAGTTTTCCACAGATTTCTGTTTTGATTTGTGGAGAGGAAGCTTTATTTGGCGTAAGAAGTTTGGTGCGGTTGGAGCATATGTGTCGAAACCATTGTCGTCTTTCCAAGCTGAGTCCATGGCTCAGCTGCCGAACTAAAGCAGCGAGAAAATTGCGGAAGCACAATTTGCTCTGTCGAGTGCAAGCTTTGCGGTTTGGCCGAAAAAGGCGCAGGCAGTTTTTTATAGCAAGGGAGAGGGTTCGAGAAGTTGCGTCCAGGTCTTCTTTTCACTTGCGTTTAAATACACAAACTCCACAACACACGAACGCCGCCGCTCAGAAAAGCTTCAATGGTGTCTCTCTTCCAGCGATTTGGCTTTCGCACCTTCTATGGGGTGATGGAAGAGCTCCGCAATAGGTGTTTGCGGGTGACAGTTCTAATTCAGGAAACAATCTTTGGAAAGAAAAGCTTCCGCGCAGGAAAAATTCTTTTAGAAGAAGCGTCTGACCTTGGGAAAACAAAGCGAGTTTCCACATACGGGAAATTTTTGTGGTCCCTCACAGGGAATGACCTTGAATTGGATGTGTCTTTCTCTCTTCAGACTGAAGAGACCAAACCAAAATTTTAGGGGGGGCTTTGAACGGGGGGCTTCAAGGGGCTTTGAAGGGGCTTCAAAGGGGGGCTTTAAGGGGCTTTGAAGGGGACGTTCAAGGTTTGTCTTACAGAGCAAAGTAGAGCTTCTAGAAAGAGCAGAAACAGGGGCTCCTGTCCGGTATCTACATATGTCCTAAGATGTTCTGCAAGCTGCACTTCCAACATTCGACATCATGCGGGTTTCTAGCACTATGGGTCCAAGTACCTACGTATTAAGCATGGTTAATTCCTTCCCTCTAATATTAAAGCCTCCCCTCCCCAATATTACAACCTCCGGCCCCATGAGTTTTGCGGTTTCGGGCCCAGAATTGATTGAAGGGGGGGCTTTGAAGGGGGCTTGAAGGGGGCTTGAAGGGGGGGAATGAAGGGGGGTTTCGAAGCCTTCACAGTATGGGTGCTACATTGTATTTTCTTCGCAAAACGCCCCAAAAAGCGATTTCGTGTGGCTTCTTCTTCTTAAGTCTGCTTTTCTCATTTT